TGTTGCACTAAGGGTGTATTCAGACCTGCACATTTGCTCCACTTTAAACGGACCAGGATTCGTTTGGAACTCTGATCCGAATCTTTTATGCAGGTCTGAATACACACAAACGAATCCTGGTCCGGACCAAAGAACCGAACCGAGACCCACTTTTTGAGGTGGTCTCGGTCCGCTTCCAAACGAATTCTGGTCGAATCAGGTCTGAATACATCCGGTGTCGATCCGACAGAACTCCAAGATACGTGCGCATTTTTGGGCTTAACAAGCCGCAGACAGAAACTGAGGAATTAGCCACGCAGCGGCTAACTATGCTGCTAACTATGCTGCTAACTATGATGCTAACTATGCTGCTAACTATGATGCTAACTATGCTGCTAACTATGATGCTAACTATGCTGCTAACGCTACACAACAACACTGATCCGTGTGCAGACCTGGAGCAGTGAGGAGACGCTGTGCAACAGACTTATGGAGTTCACAGTTTACATTGATGTTAATGCAGCATCTTCAAACCATTTGCATTATTAAAAATGGTTTTGAGACTCACGTCTCAAAGAGCAATATTCTGCATCATGTAGTGAATTGTGTTCTTTGGTTCATACCTGATCCTCAGCGTCTGTTTGTCCCGTGGTTATTATAGATCCATGGTTTATCCACAATGCTGAACAGGGCCGTTATAATCATAGATCCATGTGTGGGAAAGGACACGGAGCGCACAGACAGAGTCTCCGTCGGGTTTCTCCTCACGCATTCGCCGACGCTGTTCCAATATTTAAAACAACGTGTTTGGCCTGTGTCATATGAGCTGCTGTTGAAGGTGGTTTTGCTCTAAAAAGAGCAGACACAGTCAGAGCAGACATGCTGCACATACGAGCCCTCAATGTTTTCCTCCGGTTCCGCGTCTATCCTCCGTGAGCTCTGCTGTCCAATAGGAGCCGATCGTCACACGTGTCAATATGTTTATATAAAAAAGTTCACTTGCAAAAAGGACAGTCTGAATACGAACCGGAGCAAAAGAAAAAAGTTTGGTCCGCTTTTGATTCGGATCAAGCAAGCGGAGCAAAGGACTTTTCAGGTCTGAATACACCCTAAAACAACAGGGGGATAAACTGTTCCAACTGGTACACCAGTATGAACGATCCGTCTGAAACTCACCTGATGACGAAGGTTCCGTGGAGCAAAAAACACATATAATATTTTTGTGGCGTTTATCAATCGTAATTAATGCGTTATAATCCTAACCCTAATCATAAGGTAGCAGTAGTAGTCTCTATATCGATGTAATTGTCCAATACAATAAAAATAAGAACCCTATATACATACAGTGCCTTGCGAAAGTATTCGGCCCCCTTGAACCTTTCAACATTTCGCCACATTTCAGGCTTCAAACATAAAGATATAAAATTTGAATTTTTTTGTCATGAATCAACAACAAGTGGGACACAATCGTGAAGTGGAACAAAATTTATTGGATAATTTAAACCTTTTTAACAAATAAAAAACTGAAAAGTGGGGCGTGCAATATTATTCGGCCCCTTTACTTTCAGTGCAGCAAACTCACTCCAGAAGTTCACACACACACACACACACACACACACACACACACACACACACACACACACACACACACACACACACACACACACACACACACACACACACACACACACACACACACACACACACACACACACACACACACACACACACACACACACACACACACACACACACACACACACACACACACACACATACTGGTTTCCATTCTTGATGGGGACCAGGTTTCAAATTATCACTTGTGGGGACCACCCTTTCTAGAGGTTCTAGAGTCATAAAAAAAAATTGAGTTACTTAACAAAACATTGTAAGCATATACACATCTTAAAATGTCTCAATTGATGAAATGATATTCTGGCAGTGTACTGTGGGGACCTATAAAAAAACGAGTCAATGTCACTTAGAAGGACCAGATTTGCATATTTTTTGCATAATTCACACACTTTTAAAATTTACTCATGGGGACCCTTTGTAAATCTAATAAGTACAATGTTAAGGCCAAAGAATGCACAGACTGTCTTTGTAAATGTGCCTTTATTAACCAATTTTATATTTTTTGTTGTAAGGATTGTGAACAGCTTATTTCTTGATGAAAGCACATTTTGCTTCAAATGCAGAGCAAAAAAAAAGCCTGTGCAAAAAAATGTCTTTTGTCATATATTCTTTGTACACCATTTTTGTTGTATGCCTTAACAGCCATATTTGTAGTGGCCTGACTTGAACTGAGTTCAACTGCAGAAGATGTTTCAGCTGAAACACATCTTAGCATCTTGAATGAAGTTGTGAAGTCACATTCAAGATTGTTTGCAGGGATAGAATCATCAAGAATGAGTTGGCTTGTAATTTTGTTTCATGACGAAGTTTGGATCACTATCACTTTCTGAATCAGACGAGGTATCTGGGACATAGTTGTCTGAACTATCCATTGTAGAATCATAAAACTCACAGTCAAGATGATTTGTGTCTTTCATCTGAATCAAACAAGAAAAAACATTTTAACAACTAAGAATTCCAAAAAAGTAAAACAAAAACAGTCAGAATAAAATTCATTGAAAAAATAATACTTACAAAATAAATGAATGACACATTTAACTTCACTGGATGAAAACAAGTTTCATAGGTACATTTTGTACTGACTTACTATGACACTTTTTGTCCTTATCAGTTTTGGTACATAATCGACTTCCCATGTGTGCTGTGCAAGAATCTGTAAATAAATAAAAAACTAATATAAACAAACAAGACAAAAAACGACTACACTTCTCTTGAGAACCTTTTCACACCCCACTCCATTCCTTATTTATGGGGACCACGTCAACGGACTCACACACATGATTAAACTCAACAGAAGTCACTCATCCACTTACTGAATATAGTTAAATGACTTACACATAACAAATCTTATATAATTGTCTTCAAAGGTTAAAAAAGCTTTCTCAGGACTGACAAGGAATCTCTGGTATTTTGTCATAATTGATGAATAGGATCCTACCTGTTTCTGATCGGCATCGTTTCCAAATGACGTATTCATGTGGGACTGAGGCTGGTCAAAAAAACTTGTGGTATAAGTGTCATCTGTGGGAGACAGAAGGTATGAGGATTTACAATTGAACACAAAAATAATCACCGTCTAAAACAGTGATTACAAATTAAAATCATAAGACCACTCAAGCAGTCACAAATACTACCAGCAGTACATAAATCATAGTTTGACTGATGTAAAACCAACTTGTTTGTACATACACATATCTAGAGTCGGGGACACGTCTCATGAGGACCTTTTCACACCCCTCTCAATTCCTTCATGGGGACCAATTCAATGGACTTTCACACACTGTTCAACTCATTAGCAGTCACTCCAGGTGTGCTATGGGGACATTGTGAGGGCTATTTCACACACTTTCATTCCTTCTTTATGGGGACCGTTTCAATGGAATTTCACACATGATTAAACTCAACAGAAGTCACTCGGGCGGCACGGTGGCTGAGTGGATAGCACTCTCGCCTCTCAGCAAGAAGGTCCTGGGTTCGAATCCCGGCCGGACCAGGGCCTTTCTGAGTGGAGTTTGCATGTTCTCCCCGTGTCTGCGTAGGTTTCCTCCGGGTACTCCGGTTTCCCCTACCACTAAAAACATGCACAATAGGTCTGGCATGCGCCTCCTGTACTGGCGACCCCGCTCCCATCTCTGTGTGGAGTGAGTGGACCAATGCCCAAAAATAATAACAATTGTAAACCGCTTTGTGACTCTGGTCTGTGAAAGGCGGTATATAAATAAAGATTACTTACTTACTTACTACTCAAAGTGTTTTATGGGGACATCGTGAGGGCTAATTTGAAAGAAACATTTAAGTAAAAAGTCCTTGTCTGCAATGACCAAAAAAGGCTTAAAGTATTCTCCTTCCACTATTCCACTTACTGAATATAGTTTAATGAGTTACACATGACAAATCTTATACAAATGACTTCAAATGTTAAAAAGCTTTCTCAGAACTGACAAAGAACCTCTGGAATTTTGTCATGATTGATAAAAAATTATCCTACCTGTTTCTGAGGGGCATCGTTTGCAAATGACGTATTCATGTGGCACTGAGGCTGGCCAGAATGATCAACAGAACCTGGAGTAGTACAATCTGCTATCACGCGGGTCATCTGTGTGAATCAGAAGGTATGAGGATTTACAATAAAACACTAGAATAATCACCGTCTTAAACAGAGATCACAAATTTAATTTAATAGAACCACCCAAGAAGGCCAAAGTACTACCAGCAGTACACAAATCATAGTTTGACAGATGTAAAACAAACTTATTTGCACATACACACATCTAGGGTCGGGGACATGTCTCATGAGGACCTTTTCACACCCCCGCCCCATTCCTTCATGGGGACCAATTCAATGGACTTTCACACACGGTTCAACTCATCAGCAGTCACTCAAAGTGTGTTATGGGGACATTTTGATGGCCATTTCACACACTTCCATTCCTCCTTTACGGGGACCAATTCAATGGACTTTCACACATGTTTAATAGAAGTCACTCAAAGTGTTTTATGGGGACATCGTGAGGGTTCATTTGAAAGAAACATTTAAGTTGTATAGCCCATGCTGCTCTTCTGTTTTTTGCCACTGGATGGTGCTGTGGCTGCTGTGGCTCAGGCTCATCATGGCACCTGTTCTGGTTATTAGCACACCTGTGTTCTTTTTGATTTTGTGACAGTGTAGGTGGAGGAGCCTTTAATATTTTCCACCGTGTTGTATTGTTTGCAGTGTGTTTTTCCTTTGAAAATAAATAACAAAGAACTTTAATTTTCTCAGTTTTTCTTACGTTTTTACACGCGTGGGTCAATATCCACCACATTAGGCTGTTGCATGTTTTGGACCATACATTAGTGGAAAATAACCGCGTTGACTACACTTGGACTCTTTCTTTCTCTGGACAATGGATGAGAATACCACACTGCAGAAGCGGGCCCCAAAGCCAACTCTTCGGGCCATGGAAGACTCACTTCAGAGGAAAATCAATAACAGAAGAGGTAAGCTAAGTCAACTCAAGATGAAGAAGAATGAGTTGCTGCATTTTATGGATAATGACAGTAATATTGATGTGGTGCAGAAGAAGTTCACTCACGAATTTAACACTGAATTTGCTAACTTCCAAGAGGCAAATAATATGGTCAAAGATCAATATAATGCATTGGGACTTGATGAGAACCAGAAGTATGACCAAGAGAACTGGTATATGCCCAAAGAAGCCGCATTTTATGATTTCATTGAAGAAGTGGACTTTTGGATAAAAGACGTGGGTAAACGGATGGAAGATTCATCAAAGATGGATGCAATGGTGCGGCCCAAAGACGGCGTATCTGAGTCTGGTTCCCGAAGGACAAAATATTCCAGATGCAGCTCTGTACATTCCCAAGCTTCCGTGGAACGCCTAAAGGCTGAACTGGAAGAGGCCGCGCTCTCGGCGCAGGCAGCGGTGTTAAAGGAGAGACAGGAGATTGAGTTCCAGGAGATGCGTATACGGGCTGACAAAGAGGACTTGGAGCTAAAGCTTGCCTTGGCCACTACCCAAGCTAAACTGAGGGTTTTGGACATGCATGATGGGTCTGTAGTCGCCGCACCCCAGTCCCCGCAGCCTGTGGTCGCCACACCTCAGTCCCCGCAGCCTGACGCCGCTCCCCAGTTCCGGCCTTCTGACGCCGCACCCCAGTCCCCGCAGCCTGTGGTCGCCGCACCTCAGTCCCCGCAGTCTGACGCCGCTCCCCAGTTCCAGCCTTCTGACGCCGCACCCCAGTTCCGGCCTTCTGACGCCGCTCCCCAGTTGTTCCGGCCTTCTGACGCCGCTCCCCAGTTGTTCCGGCCTTCTGACGCCGCTCCCCAGTTCCGGCCTTCTGACGCCGCTCCCCAGTTCCGGCCTTCTGACGCCGCTCCCCAGTTCCGGCCTTCTGACGCCGCTCCCCAGTTCCGGCCTTCTGACGCCGCTCCCCAGTTCCGGCCTTCTGACGCCGCACCCCAGTTGTTCCGGCCTCCCGACGCCGCACCCCAGTTGTTCCGGCCTCCCGACGCCGCACCCCAGTTGTACCGGCCTCCCGACGCCGCACCCCAGTTGTTCCGGCCTCCCGACGCCGCACCCCAGTTGTTCCGGCCTCCCGACGCCGCACCCCAGTTGTTCCGGCCTCCCGACGCCGCACCCCAGTTGTTCCGGCCTCCCGACGCCGCACCCCAGTTGTTCCGGCCTCCCGACGCCGCACCCCAGTTGTTCCGGCCTCCCGACGCCGCACCCCAGTTGTTCCGGCCTCCCGACGCCGCACCCCAGTTGTTCCGGCCTCCCGACGCCGCACCCCAGTTGTTCCGGCCTCCCGACGCCGCACCCCAGTTGTTCCGGCCTCCCGACGCCGCACCCCAGTTGTTCCGGCCTCCCGACGCCGCTCCCCAGTTCCTGCTGGAGCTAACATTATGGTAAGCACTGCTATACTTTACTGTGAAGTTATGTCTATAGTAAGTACTGCTATACTTTACTGTGAAGTTATGTCTATAGTAAGTACTGCTATACTTTACTGTTGAGTTATGAACACGACTGTTATGATAAAACACAGACATAAATTAGATCTGCCACAGATGTGTGTATTTAACCTTGTTATCTGCTGTAAATAAGCTCAGTCCTGAAAAGCTAATGCTACGAGGCTAGTTCATTCAGATTCGGTTTTTGAACAAGAAAAATCATGTTGTGTTTTATCTTTTAGGGAGAAACAAACCCACTGATTAAATATTAAAGCTACACTGAGGAAATAGTCACGTTTTCATGGAAAATCACTCTGCAGCACAGCAGCTATAGTATGCTAACACATGTTTTCTGTATTCATATAATGTATAGCCCATGCTGCCCTTCTGTTTTTTGCCACTGGATGGTGCTGTGGCTGCTGTGGCTCAGGCTCATCATGGCACCTGTTCTGGTTATTAGGACACCTGTGTTCCTTTTGATTTTGTGACAGTGTAGGTGGAGGAGCCTTTAATATTTTCCACCGTGTTGTATTGTTTGCAGTGTTTTTTCCTTTGAAAATAAATAACAAAGAACTTTAATTTTCTCCGTTTTTCTTACGTTTTTACACGCGTGGGTCAATATCCACCACATTAGGCTGTTGCATGTTTTGGACCATACATTAGTGGAAAATAACCGCGTTGACTACACTTGGACTCTTTCTTTCTCTGGACAATGGATGAGAATACCACACTGCAGAAGCGGGCCCCAAAGCCAACTCTTCGGGCCATGGAAGACTCACTTCAGAGGAAAATCAATAACAGAAGAGGTAAGCTAAGTCAACTCAAGATGAAGAAGAATGAGTTGCTGCATTTTATGGATAATGACAGTAATATTGATGTGGTGCAGAAGAAGTTCACTCACGAATTTAACACTGAATTTGCTAACTTCCAAGAGGAAGTTAGCGGCGTCGGGAGGCCGGAACAACTGGGGTGCGGCGTCGGGAGGCCGGAACAACTGGGGTGCGGCGTCGGGAGGCCGGAACAACTGGGGTGCCGGCCTTCCGACGCCGCTCCCCAGTTCCGGCCTTCCGACGCCGCTCCCCAGTTCCGGCCTTCCGACGCCGCTCCCCAGTTCCGGCCTTCCGACGCCGCTCCCCAGTTCCGGCCTTCCGACGCCGCTCCCCAGCTCCAGCCTTCCGACGCCGCTCCACATTCCCAGCCTTCCGTCACCCCAAGTACACGCCAGCTCGCAGGACAGCGCTACAGTGACTTCATAAGCGACCCGGCCTATTCCACAACCGGCCAAAGAGAGAATAGTCCAGACGCTCTGCTCACTGTACTTCACCGCCAAAACGACATCACAGAGTATTTGGTGAGGCAGCAGAGACTAATAACGCTGCCGCCCCAGACTATACCCATATTTAAGGGGGACCCACTGGACTTCAGACTGTTTGAGAGAGCCTTTGAACACGGTGTGGAGCATAAAACTGATAGCTATGAGGACAGACTGTACCTGCTGGACCAATACACCAGTGGACAGCCCAAGAACTTAATCCGTAGCTGCATGCATATGGAACCAGAGCTGGGGTATAGAACGGCCAAGAAGTTGCTCAAAGAACATTTTGGTCGAGACTATAATGTGGCTGTTGCTTACATCAACAAGGCCCTAGCGTGGCCCACAATCAGGCCAGATGATGGTGACGCTCTGAATGCCTTTGCATTGTTCCTCACCGGTTGCAACAATGCAGTGGCCGAGATGGACTTTGTGGAAGAAATGAACAGTGTGACAAATATGCGGTCAGTCGTCTACAAGCTGCCCTATAAGTTAAGAGAAAGGTGGCGTGGGTTTGCCTTCGACCTACAGGAAAAGCGAGACAGAAGGCCGAAGTTTAAAGACCTCGTGGACTTTGTTAATACACAAGCCAAGATGTCTCTGCATCCAATGTTTGGGGAACTGAAAGGCGGTACTTCCCAATATCCTAATCTGGCCCAGCCCGTTGCCGAGAGAAGGTCTAGGTCGACATTCACCACAGTGGCCATGCCAAGCAGTACAAATGTGGGCAACGTTGTTCCGAAAATTCTGCCAATAGGACTCTCAAACCCCTCCCATTATGATGCCCATTCCAAGCCTTGTTTGTTTTGCAATGGGAATCACAATATGGCTGAATGTAGAAAAATGGGACGCTCAATGAATAAAGACAAAATAGACTTCGTAAGAGAAAAGAAGCTTTGTTTTGGTTGTTTAAAACTAGGCCACATGGTCAAGCAATGTTGTGAAAGATTGAAATGTGATACATGCTTTGCACTTCATCCTACGGTTCTGCACAGCAAGAGCCATGACAGGGTAACTACAGATTTAGCACCTCCCAAAAGGCACACCATATCAAATGGGTTAGTTGGAACAAGGGGTTCGAATGGAGTTACTGGGGCCGGATTTCCAAACGTTATTTTGCCCATAGTCCCAGTCCAAGTAAAGGCAGCTAAAGGGTCCAAAGTTGTTACAACGTACGCCTTTCTTGATTCTGGTAGTACTGCCACCTTTTGCACTGAAAGACTTATGAACATGTTGAATCTACAGGGGCGTAAAACAGACATTCTTCTCGCAACGATGGGCAATAACAAAGTGGTGTCCACCCATGTTGTTTATGGTCTGGAGGTGACCAGGTTGGATGGTAACTCATACATACAACTTCCTGAGGTGTTTACTCAACAGACTATTCCAGCACAACAAACGAACATTCCTAGGCAGTGTGATGTTAATATGTGGCCTCACTTACAGGGAGTGGTGCTTCCAGAGCTCGATAGTAGGATAGAGCTTTTGATTGGTGCTGATGTTCCAATGGCAATGGAGCCGGAGGAAATCCTTAAGAGCATCAGAAACGGACCATATGCTGTGCGTACACGGTTGGGGTGGACAGTTAATGGTCCCTTACGAGACGGGCTCACATCCGACATCAGTCGGTCTGTGGCATCCAATCGCATATCTGTGGCCAGGTTGGATGACTTATGGTGTCAACAGTTTAAAATGGACTTTCCTGAAAGCAGAACAGAGGATCAATTGGACATGTCACGGGACGACATGCAATTTATGGATAGTGTAACGCAGTCTGTAATTAAGGTTGACGGACATTACTGCATTGGCTTGCCATTAAAGAATAAAAATGTTTCCATGCCGAACAACAGAGTACTGGCAGAGCAACGAGCTTTAAACCTCAAGAGAAAATTACAAAAGAACCCCTCCTTTCATGCAGAATATGTCAAATTTATGGAGGACATGTTTGCTAAGGGTCATGCCAAGAGGGTTCCAGATAAGGACTTTATTAGACAGGACCGAAAGGTTTGGTACATCCCGCACCATGGGGTGTACCATCCCAAGAAGCGGAAGATCCGTGTCGTTTTTGATTGCGGTGCGTCTTATCAAGGGACGTCCCTCAATGAACAGCTACTTCAGGGGCCAGATCTTACCAGCAGTTTGCTTGGGGTTATGTTGCGTTTTCGTCAAGAACCGGTGGCTTTAATGGCAGACATAGAAGCCATGTTCTACCAGGTCATGGTCCCAGAGGAGGATGCCGATTTGTTACGCTTCCTCTGGTGGCCTGATGGCAACTTAGAGGGGGATCTAGCAGACTTTAAGATGGTTGTCCATATCTTTGGGGCAACGTCGTCACCGAGCTGCGCAAGTTATGCTCTCAGACGATCTGCTGAGGACTGCAGAGGACTACACGACCCCGAAGCAGTTGATACCGTACTGCGAAACTTCTATGTCGATGATTGCCTCAAGTCCGTTGGTACGGAAGAGCAGGCAGTGAAGCTGCATAACGAACTTAAAGCAGTATGTATGCAAGGTGGCTTTAAGTTAACAAAATGGATTTCCAACAGTCGGGCAGTTTTGGCTGCCATACCGGATGGGGAAAGAGCAAATGACATCAAGGAACTGGATCTCGATCATGATGCCCTTCCTGTTGAGAGAGCTTTAGGCATGCACTGGTGTGTACAGACTGATAGTTACACATTCAAAATCACCATGCCGGACAAACCCCCAACTAGACGTAACATTCTATCCACAGTCAGCTCTATATATGATCCGCTGGGCATGGGTGTCGCCTGTTGTTCTGCAGGCCAAGAAATTGCTACAGGAGCTTTGTAGATTAAAGGTGCGCTGGGATGACATCATCCCCGGACATTTCGCGTATTTGTGGCATGAGTGGCTTGATGGTTTAAATCTATTGAGCATGTTTAAAATGTACAGGTGCTTCAAACCAGCCGCCTTTGGGGGGGTCACCTCGGCCCAGCTTCACCATTTTTGTGATGCTAGCGAGGGTGGTTATGGAGTGGTCTCATACCTACGGCAGGTGAATCAAACTAACCAGGTTCACTGCTCATTTGTCATTGGCAAAGCCAGGGTTGCCCCGCTCAAGCTCACAACCATACCGCGGTTGGAGCTCACTGCAGCAACCATGGCAGTCCGCATAGACAGACTTTTGCAGAAGGAACTTCAGCTTCCGCTAAAGGATTCTGTGTTCTGGTCTGATAGCACGGCAGTGTTGAAATACATAAACAATGAAGCCACACGATTTCGCACATTCGTAGCCAACAGAGTTGCAGAAATCCTCAGATGTAGTGGGACCCATCAATGGCGACATGTCAGCACACACCTGAATCCCGCTGACTTTGCTTCAAGGGGTCAAAAGGTGGCACAGTTCATAAAGAACATTCCACGGGTTAGAGGACCAGTTTTCCTCTACCTGCCAGAAAGTAACTGGCCACAAAGTCCAACGGGTCTTAGTGTGCTTCCCGTCACAGACCCAGAAATGAAGAAAAATGCCACTGTTAATTCGCTCACCATACAGGGCGAGCCAACAGTGATGGATCAGCTTGTGAATCACTACTCTTCCTGGTTCTGTCTTCGAAGGGCCGTTGCCTGGATCCTAAGGGTGAAGGCCTTCCTCATCAACAAGGCTAAAGGGTCTATCAAGCCACACAAGATGACTACAAGAAGCCAGACGACAAAGTCCTGCAAGCCTTCTCTGACTCTCAAGGACTTGCAAGAGGCAGAATTGGAGATTGTTCGGCACTACCAACAGCAGACTTTTCCAGACGAGCTTTCCGCTCTTGAGAGGGGTGAGAACGTCAAAAGTACCAGCCACATATACAGACTTTGTCCATTTCTTGAAGATGGTCTTCTAAAGGTGGGTGGTAGGCTTGATAGGGCTGCCATGCCACATGAATGTAAACATCCTTCGCTACTGGCTAAAACCCTCAGTGACCGAGCTTATCATTGAGGCCATACACAAGAACCTTGGCCACAGTGGACGCAATCATGTATTGTCCCAGTTGCGACAGAAGTATTGGGTGCCTCATGCTCCCTCTGTCATAAGGAGAGTCTTGTCACGATGCACTGCATGTCGACGCCTTCATGGTATCACAGGCCAGCAACAAATGGCAGCTTTGCCCAGAGACAGACTTCTTCCCGATGAACCGCCATTCACCAGAACTGGTGTGGACTACTTTGGTCCTTTTGAAGTGAAACGTGGAAGGTCAACAGTCAAAAGGTATGGTGTAATCTTCACCTGTTTGACCATACGGGCTGTTCATATTGAAGTTGCTAACTCATTGGACACTGATTCGTTCATAAACGCTTTGCGGCGATTTATATCAAGACGAGGCCAAGTTCAGGAGTTGAGGAGCGACAACGGGACAAACTTCGTTGGGGCTGATCGAGAGCTAAAGAGGTCACTGCAACAATGGAACAACGAAAGGATTCAAGTCACCCTACAACAAAAGGGCATTAACTGGTTGTTTAACACCCCTTCAGCCTCACACCACGGGGGTGTGTGGGAACGCTTGATTCGGTCCATTCGGGGAATCCTTAACGCCACCTTACGGACACAACCCCTGGATGAAGAAGGCCTTCAGACCTTCCTTTGTGAGGCAGAAGCCATTCTTAACAGTCGTCCTATCACTACCCCCACCAACGACCCCAATGACCTGGAGGCCCTAACTCCCAACCACCTCTTGTTGTTGAAAACCCAACCACTGCTACCTCCAGGACTTTTTGAAGGCTCGGACCTCTATGCACGACGCAGGTGGAAACAGGTCCAGTATATGGCCAACTTGTTCTGGAAAAGGTGGATCAGGGAGTACCTGCCAGAACTCCAAGTGCGTCAGAAATGGGCCGGGGTTAAAAGGAATTTTTCTGTTGGGGATGTAGTTTTACTGGTGGACGAATCTGCACCCCGTAACTCGTGGGTTATGGGCAGGATCACTCAAACCATACCAGACAGGTTTGGTCTTGTTCGTACCGTAAGGGTAAAGACCAAAACTAGCGATCTTGTCCGACCCATAACAAAGGTGTGTCTGCTGCTAGAGCACCTATAAATGAATTTAAGTTGTTTGTAATTGTTTCATTTAAAAAAAAAAATAAAACACTTAGGGGCCGGAATTGTATAGCCCATGCTGCTCTTCTGTTTTTTGCCACTGGATGGTGCTGTGGCTGCTGTGGCTCAGGCTCATCATGGCACCTGTTCTGGTTATTAGCACACCTGTGTTCCTTTTGATTTTGTGACAGTGTAGGTGGAGGAGCCTTTAATATTTTCCACCGTGTTGTATTGTTTGCAGTGTTTTTTCCTTTGAAAATAAATAACAAAGAACTTTAATTTTCTCAGTTTTTCTTACGTTTTTACACGCGTGGGTCAATATCCACCACATTAGGCTGTTGCATGTTTTGGACCATACACCTTTTTAAAGCAAAAATGTTGCGTCCAAGTTAGTTTGCCTTGAATTAGACTGCCCCATGTTGGATTTTATATACCGGGCGGCACGGTGGCTGAGTGGATAGCTCTCTTGCCTCTCAGCAAGAAGGTCCTGGGTTCGAATCCCGGTTGGACCAGGGCCTTTCTGAGTGGAGTTTGCATGTTCTCCCCGTGTCTGCGTAGGTTTCCTCCGGGTGCTCCGGTTTCCCCTACCACTAAAAATATGTACAATAGGTCTGGCATGTGCCTCCTGTACTGGCACCCCTGCTCCCAAAAATAACAATTGTAAACCGCTTTGAGACTCCGATGTGCAGTGAAAAGGCGGTATATAAATAAAGATTACTACTACTACTATATAATTCTCTCAATTTTGTCCACACAGAGGCAGCATTTATTTTCATGTTGCAATGTATCACTTGACCTACTGCTGATGGAGGAAAACAAAAGTGACAACTGATTGAACTGGTCACATGATTTAATGAAGAGGTGTTAGTGAAAACTTTTTATTTATTGCGCGCCTCACAGAGATTGACTCACAAGGCGCTTCAAGTTAAAATGACGCTGTTAAAACCACAATCACATTCATGGAATACATTCAGTGCAAAGGGACTGCACAAAAAAGAAAGTACATTTAAAATGAGTCTTTAACGAAGATACATTTCTGTCCAAATTCTTTTTGCCGGGAGGAAACTTTACCACAATGAAAATGTATACATTGGCTGCAATGCTACGCAGACTGCAGAGGTTAGAGAGCTTGAAAAAAGAGGCTTATTACAACATTTTCATACACCACAAACAAAACTGTTGAAATGCAGCTTGTTTATCCCAAACCGACCCTGCGCTCCTCTGCAGCCAGAGATGACGTACGGTGAATAATGCAGGAGCCACAGCTGTCCTTCTGATCCCCACATGAAAGTCCACTCGCACCAAAAGACACAAAGACAGAGACACTTGCATTCTAAATCATACACTCGTACATTTGCATGCTCTTAAATAATCCTTACAATGATTGCATTCGCTTTGAGGGAAAAAGGCACCATTCTTTCTTAGTAAAACTACTGCATTAACAACGTAGTGACCCTAGGATATGGATACTTAAATTTACTTTTTAGACGCCAGCAGTTTTTTTAGAATTGTATTGTGGACAAAAGGTGACACCCTGTAATTCAATAAAAGCTTGTGGACTACTGTAATCGATTACAAAAATACATAGAACATTATGTAAGAAAACTGTTGGGAGCCGTTTGTGGGAAGCAAAGTTTCTGTAGAGAAAGTGTCCTGGATTTACTACTTTGGCACCTAAAGGGTTAGGGCTGTCAAAATTATCGCGTTGACGCACGTTGATAAATCTTTTTCATTAATCGTGTTAAAAAAATTAACGCGATTAATGCCCATGCATCCCATAATTAAACTCAGAATGCCCGCGGACACATGCGTGTGCAAGATGGAGACAGAGCAGGCCCTCTGGGAATCCACGTTTTAAGAATACACGCGTGACCGCGGGGCACTTGTTGTTTCTTGTATGAACTCTGCGAGCTGAGCTGTGGGCGCTCAGGACAGCAGTTCCAGCGGCTGCACGCCAAACGGCGCCGCTGGAACGGCAAGACCACGCAATATATTCTCTGCTTGTAACGTGCTGTCTTTGCGTAACCAGTGCAAACATTAAATACAGCGCTGAAGCTGGACTACGGAGCCTTGTCTCCTCCGTGTTTCTCCCAAAGCACACTCGCTAAATTAAAGCTGGGGTACCTAATTTTCCCTTCCATCACCAGTTCATGTTGGTTGTGCCAAAAACGTAATGGTGTAACCAAATCAAACAGATTTAATGACATTCTGCTTCAGACTGTTTTGAAATGACCCTCATCTGTAAAAGACAATAGTTTTGCTGAGTCTAAACAGAGACAGAATGTTAATAATGTTAATGCCATTTTATATGGATTTATTGTATAATAAAAAAGTACAGTACATGTACACTATGCTGTCCTTTCTCATTTCATTCAAACAACCAGTTACAGAAAAATATGGCATAATTTTGCTGATAGTTTGAAATGTGATTAATTACGATCAATTAATTTTTAAGCTGTAATTAACTCGATTAAAAATTTTAATCGTTTGACAGCCCTAGTTAATACATACATTGAAAATCTATTCAGCATTAAATATGATATGAAAAACATGACTTTGATTCCATAGACAAAGCAGTCAGACCAGCTGCTGCTCTGACGGGGAGAGATATTTTTAAACCTTCTTGTATTTATTCCTGTATCTTGTGTTGATTGGTTGACAATTCAAAGCAAGTAGAAATAGAAGCAAAGCTCAAAAGACAGCTGCACTTTGGAATCTGCCGTCTGTTTATTGCCGTCAATGATGGGACACAATGATTGTTTTGTTTCCTCCTCAAAACCAGAGGCGGAGTAGTTGGCTTCTGAATCGTTCTCTCAATAATCGCTTTGTTCTGAGTATATCTGTTATGTCATAGAGCTGCAGAGATCCTTTCTGCTTTCCAAACCTCATTCTGAAGTAAATTATTTCAATGCTGTGTTTATATTAGGCATCCCTGGTTCCTAATATTCAAACCTTTAAAATGTTTTACTGTAATAAAATCTATCTCGCTAGTTCCTCGTTTAAAAAAACGCACCGTGTTCTTGTCTATTTTGACCTTTATCACATCTTAAGATCAGACCTCAGTGAAAAAGAGATAACCACCCTCACTCGGCCAATCAGTATCAGGGGTGTCAAACCGGTCCATTTTCTCCAGGCTTCAGGTTAAGAATAGACTCACCTGAGTAAATGAGCGGTCTGGTGTGCTCCTGCTTGGTTGGAATGAAAACCTGCAGCCACTTTGACTATGTATCTGTCTGGGTCATATTAGTCCTAACAGTTTAGCCTTAGCCAGAATGTCCAGCTATGTTTAATTTAATTGCTGATCCATGTTTCCACCATTTCCATTTGGCTGCATTAGTCGCCCAAACAAATCGATTCCTATTTGTTTATTCAAATTGAGAATCGGATTTCTTTGTGTTGCCATTTTAAGTATCATGAAGTCACTACTAGAAATTAGCTTTGTTATATGGTTCAAACTAGTTATAAAAAAACAAGGCAAGTTTATTAAGAACAGTTCACAAAAGTCAACGTCAAGTGCTTTATGAGAAGAGTTGGAAACAATCACACAAGGCATTAAAATAATAAATAATCGCAGTAATTCAAAATTGTAAATATTCAGGTGTATGCATATAGCTAAACTGTGAGCATTGTCAGAGAAGAAGCCTGGCTCACATTTTCAGGAAGACTACTCCTGATTTTAGCTGCGCAAAGCTGAAATTCTGCCTCTCCATGTTTAGTTTTGACTCTGGGCACCAGCAGGAGTCCGGTCCCTGTGCTCCTCCCGAGTCCCCGCAGGAGTCCGGTCCCTGTGCCCCTCCCGAGTCCCCGCAGGAGTCCGGTCCCGCCCCCAGGAGTCCGGTCCCTGTGCCCCTCCCGAGTCCCCGCAGGAGTCCGGTCCCTGTGCCCCTCCCGAGTCCCCCCGCAGGAGTCCGGTCCCTGTGCCCCTCCCGAGTCCCCCCGCAGGAGTCCGGTCCCTGTGCCCCTCCCGAGTCCCCCCGCAGGAGTCCGGTCCCTGTGCCCCTCCCGAGTCCCCGCAGGAGTCCGGTCCCTGTGCCCCTCCCGAGTCCCCGCAGGAGTCCGGTCCCTGTGCCCCTCCCGAGTCCCCCCGCAGGAGTCCGGTCCCTGTGCCCCTCCCGAGTCCCCCCGCAGGAGTCCGGTCCCTGTGCCCCTCCCGAGTCCCCCCGCAGGAGTCCGGCCCCCGCGCCCCTCCCGAGTCCCCCCGCAGGAGTCCGGCCCCCGCGCCCCTCCCGAGTCCCCCCCGCAGGAGTCCGGCCCCCGCGCCCCTCCCGAGTCCCCCCCGCAGGAGTCCGGCCCCCGCGCCCCTCCCGAGTCCCCCCCGCAGGAGTCCGGCCCCCGCGCCCCTCCCGAGTCCCCCCCGCAGGAGTCCGGCCCCCGCGCCCCTCCCGAGTCCCCCCCGCAGGAGTCCGGCCCCCGCGCCCCTCCCGAGTCCCCCCCGCAGGAGTCCGGCCCCCGCGCCCCTCCCGAGTCCCCCCCGCAGGAGTCCAGCCCCCGCGCCCCTCCCGAGTCCCCCCCGCAGGAGTCCGGCCCCCGCGCCCCTCCCGAGTCCCCCCCGCAGGAGTCCGGCCCCCGCGCCCCTCCCGAGTCCCCCCCTGCAGGAGTCCGGCCCCCGCGCCCCTCCCGAGTCCCCCCCGCAGGAGTCCGGCCCCCGCGCCCCTCCCGAGTCCCCCCCGCAGGAGTCCGGCCCCCGCGCCCCTCCCGAGTCCCCCCGCCGAGCCCCCGCAGGAGTCCGGCCCCCGCGCCCCTCCCGAGTCCCCCCCGCAGGAGTCCGGCCCCCGCGCCCCTCCCGAGTCCCCCCCGCAGGAGTCCGGCCCCCGCGCCCCTCCCGAGTCCCCCCCGCAGGAGTCCGGCCCCGCGCCCCTCCCGAGTCCCCCCGCAGGAGTCCGGCCCCCGCGCCCCCCGAGTCCCCCCCGCAGGAGTCCGGCCCCCGCGCCCCTCCCGAGTCCCCCCCGCAGGAGTCCGGCCCCCGCGCCCCTCCCGAGTCCCCCCCGCAGGAGCCCGGCCCCCGCGCCCCTCCCGAGTCCCCCCGCAGGAGCCCGGCCCCCGCGCCCCTCCCGAGCCCCCGCAGGAGTCCGGGATCTGGAGTCATATGGAACTTAAGTCACAGGTGTAAAGAAGTGAGAAATTTATGAAAAGTCATGCCTACAAAATACACACGAGACATTTATCAAACATATTGGATCTTGAAATGTCTGAGAGGCGTTTTATTTTCTGTTCTCTGCGTTCGACCTGAAGGGCTCGTGTTTGAAGTGGGACCTCAGATTGCGGCGTCGCGGTGCAAACATATGAGCTCCTCTGCTGTGACTCACGCCTCCTCTCTCTCTCTCTCTCTCTTTGCTCTCGCACAGGTGGCCGTAAAGAACAACATTGACGTCTTCTACTTCAGCTGCCAGTATCCCATGAGCGTGCTGTTCAGCGAGGACGGCAAGATGGGTGAGTGCGCGCCTCCTTCACCTCCGCCAACAATAGGGGTTCGTAAAGAAGTCGCGGCGGCCGTGCAGAGTTGAACATTACGATTATCTGTATTTAGGTTGTAAGGGGCCGATGGTGCAGCAGGAAACGGTACAAAACTGTTTGAATCTTTTTAGGCTTTTTAATTAGACAAAACATTTAATTCCCTTTTTATTTAACTTCATAGTAAGTAAGTAATCTTTATTCATATACCGCCTTTCACAGACCAGAGTCACAAGTTGTACATGTTGTATTTGTAAAGTTGGGTGGTGTTTTGTAAAATGGAACTCTCAGGAAGCTGCATTAGCCTAAAGGCGGCGCCCCAAAAACAAATGCAAATAAATAAGGCCAAAATCAAAAGCACGACTGATCATGACAAAAAACTGACCTAACACAGACACAGAAGGGGAACATTTAAGCGGGGGATCAAACCAACTTTTAGCTTAAGGATGGGCAGCACGGTGGCTGAGTGGTTAGCTCTCTCACTTCTCAGCAAGAAGGTCCTGGGTCCGAATCCCGGTCGGAAACGGGGCCTTTCTGAGTGGAGTTTGCATGTTCTCCCCGTGTCTGCGTAGGTTTCCCCCGGGTGCTCCGGTTTCCCCTACCACTAAAAACATGCACAGTAGATCTGAATGTAAATGAGAGAGTGAATGGATGGTGTTGGAGCTGATGGTCCAGTGTGTTCTGGACTCGCTTCTGTCATCACCGTGTGTGGAATGACTGGAACAATATCTGACTCTGAACATTGTAAAGTGCTTTGGGTGACCTTGGTCTGTAAAATAATTAAAGTAAATAACCTTAGCAATAATAATGATAATCATAATAATATGGGCAACTTGGGTCTAACTGTGAATAAACAAATAAACTCGAATAGATTTGTTTGAGCAGCACAGGGGGTTAGGGTTAGGGTTAGGTAAGTAAGGGTAAGTCCAGTAAGGGTAAGTCCAGGGGGCTACCGTAGTAAAAGGTATATTGTTATGTTTAATCCTATTATTTCTGCTATATTTGTCCGATTGAGTTTTTTGCCTGGTTAGCACAATGATGAGAGACCTAGGGGAACACCAGGTGCCAAAACTGAGAATTTTAAACTATGTATTAAAATCCATCTAACTTATTCTCAAAACTGATTGATTCTGTCACTTTCAAAGGCATGTAGATCAACTCTTTCAGACAGAAAAGGTAAAATGAGCAGACCACCCTCACTTTAAGTCTAGATAGATAGATACTTTATTGATCCCCGTAGGAGAAATTCTGGTGTGCAGTAGCAGCAAAAATCAAAATCAAATTGATCATTCTGAAAACATAATAATATTAATAGTTATAATCAGCAACAGCCCTACAGGTCACAGCAGCAGAGGTGGAGTAGCCTCTGGGTGGAGCAGGACGGGTCACAGCAGCAGAGGTGGAGTAGTCTCTGGGTGGAGCAGGACGGGTCACAGCAGCAGAGGTGGAGTAGTCTCTGGGTGGAGCAGGACGGGTCACAGCAGCAGAGGTGGAGTAGCCTCTGGGTGGAGCAGGACGGGTCACAGCAGCAGAGGTGGAGTAGCCTCTGGGTGGAGCAGGACGGGTCAAAAGATGGAGTAGCCGCTTGGTTTGGACCATTATCTCTGCTCTAGTCCAAAGTAAAATGCTAAATGCTTCATTAGCATTTTTCAAAAAGTTAGCATTCCTCCAGTGGGTTTTCTCCTGATCCACTTGGTTCAGACCATGAATCCTCTCTGCTCTGGTCTGGACCAGTGTAAAACCATGAAAACTGTACTGCAGCAACATCTCAGGCAGAAACAAGCAATAAAAATAAAAATTGTAAAGCACCAAACAACAACTGTTTCAGAGCACCTTAGGACTTACAGCCGTTTCCAGGCGCATCTTTAAAAAAAAAAGATGCGCCTGGAGTCTATGTTATATTTCAAACACAAATCATCACAATCAGAGTGAATTAGTTGACAACTATTTTAACAACCAATTAGTTACAAATAATCCAGCCCCAGTTTTCAGTCAAATTTGTAAACCAAAACATGGATGCTGGAACTGGAAGTGTTCTATTTCCTTATATGGTCATATGCAGATGCTCACCGGAACTTCTGAGGTTCCAGGATTCCATTTGGATGCTTGCTGCCATAGCAACGGTTGTCATGGCCACTATCTCTATGTGATGCTAGAACCCGGTGACATCATCGATGCTTGACAAAAAATGTTTACCTATACAGCCGTTCCCCCCCTTGTCAAATCACATTGTTCCTGAGAGCTACGTTGGTCGCTGGTTCTTATCGCACGTTGGTTAGAGCATTCGGATAAACTCTTTTGATCGTATCTATTGGTAAATTACACATCCTAAACATGAGTGGAGCAGTTTATACACTGGATGCGTACGAGGTGTTGGAGAAATTGGGAGAAGGTGTTTATGGAGAAGTATTTAAATGTATCCATAAGGAGACAGGAAACATTGTGGCCGTGAAGCATATCAAAAGGCATGAGGATTCTGCTTCTGCAATGCTGCAAGAGTTGACTGCGCTCCAAGCCCTTGAAGGCCTGGATCCAGACTTTAATTTGATTAATTTAAATGACTGGTTTCAATCCAAGAATGGGGACTTTTTCATGGAATTTGAAATGTTGGACCAAAGTGTGTTTGATTTGATGACAAAAAGAGATTCCTCATTTTCTCTGAGCGAAATCCGCCCAATGGCCAGGGATATGCTGGTCGCCTTAAAAGGATTGCGGACGGTCGGTGTCATCCATACAGACATAAAACCAGATAATATTATGCTGGTGGACCACAAAAACAAGCCATTCAAGGTTAAACTTATAGATTTTGGAGTGGCTGTCCTTAAGGAGCAGGTAGAAATAGGAGAGAGGCTGCAGCCAGCCGCTTACCGTTCTCCAGAGGTCACCCTGGGCCTGCCGATCACGGGGGCGATTGATATGTGGAGTCTGGCCTGTTGTCTTCTTGAATGGTATTTGCAAATCTTTCCGTTCAATGTTGAAGACTCGTATGACAGTCTCCGCCAAATCACTCATCTTTTGGGAGTGCCTGATGGTGATTTAATTATGCGGGCTGAAGACGGAACCTCCTACTTTGTCCGGGAGAAAAATGGTAAATGGAGGCTGAAGACCCCGAGTGAATACAGGGACCTGGATGGAAAAATGCCTAAATTGGACCAGAACTTTCTTGAAGCTGCCACAGGGCTCGATGACGCCGTTCTCAATTCCTTTGAAATTCAGTCAGGAATGGAATATGAAGACAGGAGGGCGTTTCTGGATTTGCTGAGGAAAATGCTTGAGTTTGATCCAGAGAAAAGGATCACGCCGACTGAAGCACTGGAGCACCCTTTTATCACCCTGAGCCACTTTAGAGACAGGAGTTATGTTGCAGATTCTGAGAAGTTGTTGGCCTTCACACCATGTTATGATCCAATCGCAGAGGAACAGAAACCCAAGAGACAAAAGCGATTTCATATTGATTGGCTTTCACCCTCAATAGTATCTTCTAGTGATGCATTCAACTCTATGTCACTTATTTGGAGTTATGAGGATTCAGATTCTAGCGCAAATTCTAGTGTACAATCTTGGCATTCAAGTTGTTTTCCAATATCTTCCGACTCTGATGGACCTGCTGATGTCTGCAGTTTTACACCAGAAAGAATTGTTCATGTCAGTAACTGGAGAGACATTTGCTTTAGTAATGACTCCACCATTGATTCTCAAGAGGTGGATTCAGAAACAGAAACAGAAGAAGAAGAAGCAGACACACCATGTTATGATCCAATCGCAGAGGAACAGAAACCCAAGAGACAAAAGCGATTTCATATTGATTGGCTTTCACCCTCAATAGTATCTTCTAGTGATGCATTCAACTCTATGTCACTTATTTGGAGTTATGAGGATTCAGATTCTAGCGCAAATTCTAGTGTACAATCTTGGCATTCAAGTTGTTTTCCAATATCTTCCGACTCTGATGGACCTGCTGATGTCTGCAGTTTTACACCAGAAAGAATTGTTCATGTCAGTAACTGGAGAGACATTTGCTTTAGTAATGACTCCACCATTGATTCTCAAGAGGTGGATTCAGAAACAGAAACAGAAGAAGAAGAAGCAGACTTAGAACAAACAGGTTACATGGCTATAAGTGTAGATGAGGATTTCAAAACTCAAAGATCTTCTGGGACATATATGGACGAGTCAGAAGAGGATTGCCCAACCATGTTCCAATCCACCCATAACCGCTGTTTGGAACCAGTTGGTAATTTCAAAGTTCATGAAGCAGAGCATGGAAACCAAGCTACAGTTGAGTCTCAGGATTTGAAGATAAATAGCCCAGTCCCGCCGTTGGGTGTTCAGTTGCCAAGTAGCAATGAAATATCCAATGGGGAATCTCCAAATGAAGGCTTACGGACATCAAAATATAATATATCAAAAGAGGAGGGCTTTGAAAACGAGATGGCAAGAACAACTTTGTGCCAAGGGTCAAAAGTAACTAGTCCCACAATTTCACCCCTAGAATACACTGATATTCAGGAAACGGAACAGACACTAAATGTTTGTAAGAGCTCATGGGTGGGTCCACCACGCACTGAAAGGCCAGAAGAGGTGTTGGCCATTCCTGAGACTGTACCGGGAGAAAAGTTCTTGAAAACAGAAACGATAGCAGATTTCATACCAGATGTAATGTCAACAAGTGAGGAGGTAACATATACTGGGAATGATTCGGCCTCTTTATCATCGGAACACCCGATCATCTCCCACAATGAACACGAACAGATTCTAAAAACGCAATCAAGCCTACCCTTTCCAAAGACAAAAGTCATTCAAACCAGCAGTGGTGAGAAAAGTAAGGCAGCAGAAACGTTACACGACACAGTCATTTCAAACCAGCCGGAGAATGTTGAGGTCAGAGAGCACCAGCCGCTACCATCACAGCGGGACGATGACGATGACGATGACGATGACGAGGGGGGGAGCTCCATTTGCATTCCACTATGTTCTTCTCTGATCAAGCCAGTTCTGGACTTCATTAGTTCCTCCTTATTCAGTTTTTAAGGGTTTCTGACCAGTGAAAATG